ACGACTCCCTTCAGGTCAGGCATCAAGATGCTGGACAGAGCAGTCTGTACTCTGAGGAAGCCATTAACAATAGAAACATCAATGCCAATACTCACATTGCCTTCTCCACGTCCGGCAGTGAAGATGACCCCCACAATAACCAAACTGGGAAACTCGACTTGAATCCATTGATGCAACTGGTCCGCCTCTATAAGCTCTGGACACCAAGCCTCACCACTCGAATGCTCCTCGTCTCCGTAGACATCAGTGAGTCTGATGCATGATGCATAGTGAAGGAAGAAAAAGCTCGTTTGAGGCTCGTTCGAGAGGGAAAGTGTTAAACAATTTACTTAATATAAATAATTAATTAATAATTAATCAAAATAAACAATATTGATATGATTACACTTGAATTCAATTCATTAATACATTATTAATAAAAAGTAATGCAATACATATTTACCTATAATTCAGTGTAATAATAATAATATAATGTATTATGAAAATATAAGTAATAGGTATAAATTCAAGATAAATATAATATAGTATTGGCTGCCTAGCTTCCATGACTGCATAGATAGTTAATAACACATGTTGTCTAGAGATGGGATGGCTAACAAAGAAAGGTGTATGGGCACGCACAAATGGATGAAGAACGGTTTCACTGTTCACCTGTGTATGCATTTCGTATTTGGCATATTTTTCGGTATATTTATCGATAGCTAGGCCAATCTCCTCTCCACATGAGGAGACAAGGACATTAAACCCATCTGTAATGGGGGAAATCCAACGTGAAGTAACACAATCTGAACGAGCTTTATGTGCAGCCCGTTTCTATGCCGGCCACCTCGTGAATTCCAAATGCAGCAACATGCGAATGTGCAGTGACATATGTTCTAGCACTGCACCCGACCGAGGCTGAGCAATGTGTAAATCGATAGATGGACGGGTGAAAATGTGCAAGAGAGGAATGGGGTATGCAACATGGTGGAAATCGCTTGATGCCGATTTGATGGATGGGCTGGTGGAAGCAGAGTGGATTGGAGAGCGGTTATTTGGAAGAATATAAATTCTCTATGATATATGCAGACCACAATCTGTATTATAGAGGATGGATAATGCATGGGAGATTAGGTGGTACCAGTTTTGCAAAGCGTGACCAGATGGTCCGATAAAAATGGTACCAGGTAATGCGGTCGGACGCACATGTAAGCAAATCGCTTACAAAGAGCACCTGTGCATTCCATTCACTCAGGCGGATGCAAGCCTGGACTGAATGGGCGGATAGGCTCCCCCAGGACCAGGGTCAGTACCAAGTGTACGGGAAACCTCGAACCAGACGGCTGAGCTCGGTCATTTATGCGCGTGGACGTACTTACGAGTAGTCTGTGTTTCTGTTCGTTATCGTCTCTGTGTGTCAACGTGTGCATCGCATGCATGTCGACTGAAATTGACCTGAGAACATCTACACATGAGGCTATCCCGGCATCTTTAGGCCAGATTGTCTATAGGTACCGGCATCGATAGTCATGACAGCTCATTTGTATTGGTCTCCTTTGAGCAATGCCATCATCAGGTGTTCATACGCCCTGAAGCTTCTTTGGAATCAGGCCTTGGACCATCTTGAAGTCGGATCGGTAAAAGTAACTGAATGCGAGTCTGGCGTGAGTTATGCATACTTAAGCAGGCATTTATGCAGACTGCTCATCAGGTCACCACGATATTAGGTTAATAAACATGTTCACACGATTTTCGGGGCAGACAGATGAGGGCCTTATATGAAAGTAAAAGGTAGGGTGGGAACAAGGCTGGTTGAAAACGAAAGTTTGTACAGAAACGCTCACGAAGGGATATGGAAATGAATAATGCCCCTTTCACAGAGGATCGAGAGAGCGTAAAATGTGGGGCTGAGTGAACGCGAATCGAGGCCAATAAATGACTCGTTGGCTTGCTACAATGTCTTGTGGGTCTCAACGGCAATTCGAACAAGATTTTCGAAGCGTGGCTAAGTGTAGCAAATTAGATGATTGTATATAGTCCATGTATGATATCGAAATCGGCCTAGGCCAAGCAAAATATCGGATTCACGACTCATCACGTTAAGACTGGAGTGGTCAACTGGTCAAGAGTTTGCTGGCATCAAAGAAATTTAATTAAAAGTGAAAAGGAATAAACCCTATCGCCAAGCAAGAGACCTCTTAAAGCCTCTGGGCTAGCATAAACAACAAAATTAAATGGAAAATCCGGAACTCAGCATCATCTCAAAAGCAAAGAATTCAACAGGATTCATGCATCCATGAGGGCATATTTTCATGTTTTAGACACAATCAGAGTAGAAGCCTTTGCAAGATGCTTTGATTTGTATTTTGTCTAGAAGAAGTCTCATATGATAGCGTTGACAACAATGTCACTTTAACGAAGCTTGAAGATCGTGGAACCGGTCAGAGAAATAATAACTAAAAAGAGCGCAATCGCATTAAAACCAGCCGTGGAAAATACGAAGAGGGTGAATTGGCAGAAAACTGACAAGTTCCTTAGTCTAAGATAATATTGTTATAAAGACTTTCATTTCACATGCAAGTGTACCATGAAAAAATCGGGAGGCCGATCTTACCAGAAGACTTTCATACGACATGAAAGTCTCATGAAAAATAAGATATAAGAAGATATGAATAACAAGATGTTGTGGCCTCTGGTATGGTCGCAGTCTCCTTTCGATTGATAGAAGTGGGTTGACCTCATTTTCGCAACTTGGTCTTGTTGTCAGGGCGACTATGTAGAACGCACCTAG